TACCTACATGTTGTTCAATTTCAACATTTTTCCCTGATGGACTATCTCATTGGAGTGTCGTGTACTTAATTTCCAACCTTGCCTCGATTTAGTAAAGCGTGAAGGCACCCTGGCACCACTAGCAAAACAACCTCGAGCCGACCTCATTGACGTCCCCATTCGAATAAATCTTCAAATCGTCAATCTCCGACATTCTGTTCCAACATATTAGAATCGTTTTCATGAACATCCAATCATTTCAGATGCCTGAGATCCAAATCCCGACGCCTTGGCCATTGTTGAAAGACATTTCCATCATAGAAAGTCACAAAGAAATCGCGAACCTCCTTGATTATTATCTCATCAATCATGTTCGATAGAGAGTAGCGTCATACTGTAACAAAATGCTCATATTAAATCACTTCCCCGCCACCACCTTGCCCCTCCATTTTTTCTTCTTCTTTCCCCAAGTTTTTATACCCCACACTTCCCTTCTATTTACACTTCCCTCTTTACCAACATCTTTATTCTTCGTCCTCTTTAACAACGACTCAACCCTTTAGTATATTGTATGGAAGTCTCAATCATCTTGGGCGATTTGAATGTTCTGAAGAAAGGCCCCTTAGGAGAGGAGACAATTCTTTATGTTCATAGATGAGTCTTTAGCACATGGGCAGTGTAAATCATTTTGGATCTCCAAGTTATTGCTGTGCAATTCTAGGCATCATAAATTTTACACACAGAGACCAATTGTATCCGAATCGCGATTCGAAAGCACATCTCCCAGTCCTGCTTTCTTGCACCACCCGGGTCTCCTCTTTTCGACCCTGAATACACCTAGAATGAATAGTATATAACTACTAGGTAGCGAGGTCGATATTGAATAACTACAGACTTCTAGTTCAATAAGGTAGATATTTCATACAGATTACCATTTGGCTTGGAAGAAATGGGTAAACACACATAAACATCCCAGATCATCATGCTTGTAAGTAGTAAAATGATTAAGAAAAAGTGAGGTCTATAATAATAATAATGAAGAAAGAAGCAGATCAGAAATGCAGTTTTCATTTCATTTCTCAATTATTCATGAGTGAAGTTGAATATTAGTCCAAATTTGTCGCATAACGGCAGGAACACAGCCATGAACTTATATATTCCTCACCTCTCTTTCACTAAGGGGGGTCATTTCTTGAAAAATCCATTTGTTATGACTTCCAATTCATCTTCTCAACTTCTACCTAGTAAATACCTCTCAACCCCACCGTTATTTTCCTAAATCATTCAATCTGGAACCTATTTATTCTACTATCCAAAATACATTCCTCTATTTTATGTTTTTCAACTTTCAAAACATTTTCTAAATCTCGGATGATTGCGTTTAATCATGGACCACTCCAGCCTCGTCGCACGTTATCATGCCCTTCAGCGAAATCAACGTGACAAAGCATCCCTCCAAGTTGATCTGAATACCTCCGATGGCAACGAAAAGTTCAATGCTAGTGTTTCTGAGGCAGTATCAAAAGCCTTTGACAAGTATTATGAGAGTCAACTTCCTATTCAACTATTGAAGTTATAAGTCGATGCTTTTGAGAAGAAGCTTATCAATCTTGAGTCTTTCGTTACCTCGAGCTTTAATGATAAAACTACTGGAATCAAATCCATTGTCGCTCGTGGTTTCGAAAGCTTGAAGGCCAGCATCGACGATTCCTATTAACATCATGATGCTAAGTTAAAGGAATTAATGTAACAACATGGAGCAGATATGGCAGAGGTTTTGAATTTGTTGTTGGATACAGTCGATTACGACACATTTACAAATACAACCCGCGAGTCAAAATGTGCTATAAAGAATCATCTCAACGCCAAATTCAAGGAGGTTTTCGATGCATTCACAAGTGCCCTTTTCGACTCAAGAACTTCCATTTTGATCAACTTCAATGCTGGATTTAAGGAGCTTTCGGATCAACAGGTCGCATATTTTTCTGAGGCCTTCGAACTGCTAACGAATACCCTCCACCCTGATATATTCTCGGATGGCATTCGATGATTAAAAAGTTCGGAGATATCATCTTCAATCCATTTCCAATGTCCTCGATCAGAAGATGAGTACCGACAATTTTAGGATAATGGCTTCTTCACTGTCCAGCTCCCAAGATGATGCTCTTCGAGCATTCTCTGTACTCCTAGGCGATATGCTTAATGCCGCTGATTTCTACGACGTTTTCAATGAATCTAACGAATCTACGGGCCGACGTTTGCGTGCACACGCAGATAGATTAGAATCAATTCAGCAAACAGTGGAGAATATCGAGAGTTCCAGCGTCTCCGGCAATGAATATGCTGGTTTGGAAAGACTGCTGCAAGATATTCATACCAAAATAACCATGAGACAAGCCATTGATGATGTTAAGTCGGTTCATGAGGGTTGCACAAACCACATCAAAGAGAATTTCCAGAAACTCGAAACACAAATTTCCGAACTCATCCCTTCCGACACAGTTCAAATCAGTCTCAACAGCCTCCATGAATAAATATGTGCTCTTGCACCTTCGCCAACAATTGAAGAGAAACTCGCAGACCTGTACGAAGGTATGAAATCGGTTTCGGTCTCGACAAAGATTGAGGAGAAGCTTGCGCACCTGCACGAAGACATCAATAAACTATCTCCATCCGCTGCGATCCAAAAGCAACTCGTCGACCTGCATGAAGACATGAAGGGGCTTTCATTATCGACAACCATCGAAGAGAGACTCAGAGTTCTTCAGGAAAATATCAACGGATTGGTTCAACCAATGGCTATCAACCAGTCTCTGGAACAGTTGCATACAGAAGTTCAACAGCTTAATCTCTACGAACCCATCACTCAGTCTCTAGCAAAGTTGCATACGGAAGTCCAACATCTCACTCCTTCCGAGTCAATCGCTCAATCTTTGAATGGATTGAAAACAGACATACGACAACTCAGTCCATCAAAAGAAATTTCCGAGTCCCTTGAAAAAATGAATGCAAATCTTAAGGAGCTTTCACCATCTCAACCACTTGTCAACGCCATTCAAGAACTCCAAACTGACATCCAACAACTAACACCGGTCCAATCTATTGTTTCATACCTTGAAAAATTGAGCAATGAAATCAACCAATTGTCTCCAAGTGAAGCCATTCGAATCGAACTCGAACGCGTGATTACTTCCATGAAGACTTTGGTTCCATCATCTGATATCAATGATAGCCTGGAAGCGATTCGTGATGAGATATACACTCTCACTCCTTGTGATTCCGTCATCGAAATTGCTCAAGACATATTCAATTCCATGCAAACCCTTTGCCCTACCCATGATATCTACCATTCATTGAACGCTATATCATCACAGATGCGACGCCTCACGCCTTCGGATGGAGTGAAAGTTGGATTGAATACCCTGTGCCAGAAGTTCACAGATCTCGAGTCCAGCATCCACGCATATCAGTACGCCCACGATGAAAATGTTGGGAAATCTTCCACATCAACTGAGGCCCTCGCGACTTACATGAAGGAACGGATCGATGGAGAAACTGGGATCTCAAAATCATTATCACAACTTTCTCAGAGTAATCAATCCAAGGATATCCTTACCAGACTCGAAGACTTGCAGCAAAAATTTATTCTTCTGCCCCAGAAAGATCACATCGATCGAATCATCAGCTTCGCCGGAACATTAATCGCGAATAAGCTTGATCAATTAGAGCAAGATTCCGATCACTACCACGCCGACCTCAAAGAGAGCCTCGACATTTGTATGCATACAACAATGCTCAAGGCTTCCACATGCTTCGATACCTTGAGTCATGTGAATTCCGTTTTACGAACAACTGTCTCACAAAGCCTTACATCCGCCCTTGACATTCGACCATCTTGGTGTCTTAAAGAGGAAGATAGTATTGCTATCATCATGGAGAAGCTCCCTGCACTGATTCAAGATGCCTGTGAGTTATTAAAGACAAGTATGGCAGAAAACTCGCAAGAGAAGTTGCCAACGGTCGAGGACATTGCGGAACAATTAAAATATGTTTTTTCTTCAGAGCTTCAGCAAATCAATTCCAACTTTTTACAACACTTATCAAAGCAGAATGTTTCACAAGAGTTGCCACCGGGATTTATGCCGCTTGATGACATTAGAGTAATTTTTAAAGAGTATGAAGTCGGAGAAGGTAAAGATCTATCATCACCTACATTAGTGGGTAGCCTGTCCATATCCAAGTCCACAATTCCAAGTTCGGTCGACGATGGTTCCCAAGCTTCCCCATCCACAATCTCAAGCCAGGCGCATGACAGTATCCAAGCTTCTCAATCCAATGTTTCGAGTTCGGTCTTCAACAATTCCCAAACTTCGCAATCCCAAACATCGAATCTTTTAAATCAAGAAGTCAAAAATTCTCGTCCATCTAGCAGTGGTCTTGATAGAGCTTACAAACCCAAATCTACTCGATTAGACCTGGATGGCAAGAAATCCTTCATCAACGAGCGCACTCCTCTTAACCCTATAAAGCTTCATCCAACCTTACCACATCCCAATAATTCCTAACCCCAATTTACCCAATTGACTTCTTTTCTATTATTCAGAATGATTCCCGTCGCATAGGCCCTATATGTCAAATACCCCTCCATTAAATTTCCGGGACATTGTTTCATGTGTACACCTCCAACAGCATTTTCGTACAATGTCTCGTGCGTATAAGTTTATACTTTTATATGGTGTACAAACATCTCATTCTTTCTTTTATGCTAGAACCTGTTAAATTTTTACCAATGTAGAGAAGTATTTATCACCACAGCACTTCAAATGATAGCAATTACCCTCCATCTTATGACCCAAGATCATTTCAAATGGGTTGCTTAATTGATGAGGGCTTCGAGTAATCATGTCATTCTTCTATTTTTCATGGAGATATACACTTAGTTTGACAATGGAAAGACAGAACGTTCTTAAATTGGATGACGAATTTAGGAGCTCTCGTATGTAATAGTATTAAAATTCACGATGATGCTCGCTGCTGAAATGGGTGAGAGAGAAACCACGACAGGCACGATGTTACTCGATGAAATGGGTCTTGGAAAGACTTTGGAGGTGATAGCCCTTATGGAGGAGAACCCAGTTAAGCCAGTGCTCATTGTAGCTCCAGCGTCTACTTTAGCCAATTGGGCTGAAGAGTTTAAAAAGTGGTTGTCCCCGTCGCCAAATGTGTTGATGCTGTCGACCGAGTCGGAAATCAAAGATGCGATTCAAAAAACCGCCGAAGATATGAAAGGATATGACATTGTGGTGGCTTCGTACACACGAGTCCACACCGAATATCGTGATCTCAAGAATTGGGTGGACGATATGAATTATCGACGCGAGAATCCCTATCCTGCACATCCAAGGAGATTGATCAAGGTCGATCGAAAGACTGGAGATAATATCTATCGAGTCCTTCAATTTGAAAGACCGGATTGCCCATTGTTTGGCGTGCGTTGGGGCCGACTTATTTTGGATGAGGCGCAGTACATGAAGACTCTCCGGGGAAACACTCATAAGGGATGTTATGCCCTGATCACAAAACATAGAATCTTGATGACAGGTACCCCACTCGTCAATGACTACGTCGATATCCACGCCTTCTGCAAATTCCTCCAAATTCGCTCATTGAATGATCCGGCGTGGTTTCGTGAGCACTTTATCAATCGAACTTCGCACGAGGTGATTCCTTTGGGAGAATCTGTTGCTGGCTCATACTGGTCAAGGAGGTGGAATCATTCCAAGAAGTCGACCTAGCGAAATCATGAAGCTAGAAGTTGGACGTGCAGCTTTGTTGACCAACCTTTTGCGCGGTCATTCAATTCGCCGTACAGGAAAAATGACGTTCATGGGCCACCTTCTTATAAATGACTTGCCTCCAATCGAGCGAAATGAGGTATGGCTTGATCTAGAACAAAATGGATCAAAGCACAAGCCTGATGTATATCTTCGAGCCCAAGTTGTCACCAGTGGTAGTCAGATAAATTTACCCTTTGACGTATTTTATGTAAAAGAGTTCCTCAAGTGGGCAGCACTGGGAAATTAAGGGAAGTTAACCAAACAAAAATCTGAGTCTCGCGTTGCGGTAGCGAAATGGAAAGAGGACCTTCCTAATTTTTCCCCACAGGATGAGGCCCAAACACAGCATTATTCTCGCATACAATGGTGTGAATTGTTGAGGAGCAGGATCAGTGACATTGATGGGAAGCTCCCGGTGGTTGAAAACGAGAAATATGTACTGAGTATGATGCAACGAGCCAGAATTGCGGTTGTTCTACCGGCTGCTGCTGATGCCAAATATGGGAACAATGGAAGAACTGGAAGAAATCGCAAAGACTTTATGTCATGGTTGGAAAAGAACGAGCGATGGAGTTCAACAAAGGTCAGATGGATAATTGATCGTGTCGGGGCCAAGCTCGAAGCATCAAAGGCGAACAAAGCCATAATTTCATGCCATTCTTTAGCGTTATTGGACGTAATGGCGGTTGCATTGAGGGAGAATGAACTCGGATTTCTACGAATCGATGGAACAGTTGTGGCAAAAAAGCGCTCCTGGATACAACAACGATTTGAAAATCCAGACAACGAAGCTCGGGTCTTGTTGTTAACGTCACAGATGGGCGAAATGGCTTTTAATTTCACTACGGCAAATCTTCTATATATAACCTCTCCAGGGTGGACGGCAGCAGAGAGTTTCGTATATATCGTTCCGGACAGAAGCAGAAGATAGAGATATTCAGAATCTATGCAAACCATAGCATAGATGAGAGATTTAAGTTATTACAGGATTTGAAAATGAGCAAGGAGTGGGGAATACTCGATGTGATTGATCATGATGTTTCAAACCAGCCAAAAGACAATGACAGTCGTCTTCTGGTTAAAAATACTATGAGAAAATTGGAAGAAATGAAGACCTGGAATAAGAAACGATTAGAAGAATTGAGTGGAGTTTTTAGAGGAAGCAATGGGGGAACGCAACCATTGGGGGCTGGACAAAGTTCTAGATCTGGGTCTAACGATGGAGATGAGAGTGACGAGGGAGGATACGAATCGGATGAAGCCGATGAAGTTGAAGACGAAAGTGACCAGGTCGAGGACAGAGAAATGGACGGCATTCAGTACGAGGACGAGGACGAGGACCAGGAAATGAGTGATGTTGAAGACGAGCAGTAATTGTTTCATAGTGAGTTATTGGGGCGAGAAGGAGCGAAGGGATGGCAAACGGGGACTCATGAAAGGATCGATTGCGAATGAGGGGATTAGAAGATTATGATTGGCAACGTTGATTTTAATTATGATAGGGCTCGAGATTCACAAAGGTACACAGCGATGAGATTTTTCCTAGTTGCGTGCGAGACTTTTTACAGAATTTAAATACATCATTGAAAGATTATGCATTGGAATGTGAAACTTTTTCGTTTGTATTTAAATTAATAAGTTAGGATTATGAGAGGGTGAGTAAGTCATTAATTGAGCTGCGAAGTGGAATGGTTCATTAAGATTATCATTAAGTAAATTTTGGAAAGAAAATATATATATATATATATCTCAAGAACTACATACAATTATAGTAATCGTCGACGTTTAAGGGCGAAAGATAAGTTACGAAATGAACTAAATCTGAGCTATATGATTGGATGCAAGATAGCTAGGCATTAGCATCGACGACGAGGTTGGGGACGGAAGCGTCTATGTATTAGAATGAATAATTTAAAGTAGAGAATGAAAATATGGAAGGGAAAATGGAGAAAGATATGAATGAAGAAAATGCAAATGAAAAATACGGAGATTAGATGTCTGGAGGTAAAAGTCACATGACGTATATTACTTCTCCATCCCCGCTAGACGAGCGAATCGCTAAACTCACATCCATTTCGGGCTAAGAATCAATCCTCCAAACACAGCTCCTACCTATTTCGGAATCAAAAAACTCTCAAGGTTGCCCTGGTTTCTCCCAGAAGTGATTCAGAAATTTTTCATGAACGCAAAACTAGTGAATAAATCCAAGATAATAAGATAATAGTATTGTAACTAGGTAGTGATCTCGACTTCACTTCACCATAAAACTGAAATGTATGACATTATACTTTGATAAATTTATTTCTATGAATATATATAACTCTGTGTAAAACTTGCATATATTATCCAAAAGATTTCTCAATACAATACATTAAAAAGTGTATTTTATTCTCGAGATACTGAAATATCTCTATGAAAAAGCTGGTAAGTAATTTATCAAGCCGGAAAGAAAAGTGTTTGTCGCAACCATCATCCATCATATCTCCAAGAGCAATATCTCTTCACGAAATTTCAAGAACCACTCGCTCTTCCAATATTTCTTTCTTCCACAATATCAAAAGTCCGTTCAACATTCAATCCCTCGCCTACTCTGCCTCTGTTCTTATTTCCCTGCTCATCCGGCCCACTTATCTTCTTCTCCATTACCTTCTTTCTCTCTTGCCTCTCGGAAATCATTTCTCGTCTTTCTCTCTCCCTATAAGCTCTAGTTCCCGGTTTTGGTTTCGCAAGAAGGTCATGTTGATCATGTTCTTCCTCATTTGCATAATCACGCAAAGATTTAGTCGAGTCCCCAGTAACCGATAGCCCTGCATTTGATCCTTTATGTAAATCATTCGGGTCTTGTAGAGCACCAGCAGCCCATATTTGCGTTGTATGTGTTGAATTCTGATTTGCGATGGTTGGGTCTAGATTTGCGTTTGGATGGACTGCTGAGTTTGATTTGGAGTGTGAATGATAACGAGCATTTGAGTCCTGACTATTTGCTTTCTTGCCATAGACAAATGAAGAAGCTAGAGAAAGTGGATTGAGATGTTTTCTAAAGATTCCCCACATCCTTGTTGAAGTGGGCGGCGGGATTGTATCCTCCCTCCCCCCTAACTCATGATCTGGAAAATGCGAGTTGGCATTATTTGGGCCCAGCATCCTCGGAAGCGGGGAGATAGCATCTGAATTGTCACAAGTAGTAGATGTAGATGAGATGGAAGTCTCTTTCTCGATTATAGTTTCGAAGGTTGTCGCGTTGGAAGGTTTGTGGAGCGATGGATTGTAGCCGGTTGTATTGTGGGAGTTACAAGCCGAGTTACTGGAGTTGACGGAGTCATAGGCTGGGGTATGAGAAGGCTTGCGGCTTGTGGTATTCGTTCTGTGGTTCAGTTAGATTTGATACTCACAGGCTATGTAAGCTCTAGGAGGCATCGAAAACTTACACTTCATCGCCCAACGTAGTCGTGGTAGCCACGCTGTGTTTCCTACTCTTCGCCTCCTGATCCTCGAAATAATGAATAGTCTTAGTAATCAAATCAAATTTACCTGCCCAACTCCCATTAACACTTCCACTACTTATTCCTATCCTACTATCCCTCTCCATCTTCTCCGCCTTTCTTTCATGCGTACTCATCCTCAATCTCGGCCAACACCTCGCCAACCCCAATTTATTTAGCCCCCTTCTATAAATCTCCAATCCCTCACTATTACAACCCCAGAATACCACAATTAAAAAAGCTAAAGCAACCCAATTCCATGCATCATATTGCATACCTTTCGGTGCATCTACAATCCTCCAAAAGACTATCGAGTGCCAATATGAAGGATCATGGATATATGACCAAGAATATGCATGTAAAGGCCAGCTGACATTAAGATAGAAATAATATATGACGACTGGAAAATATATCAAGAGAATTATGAGGGACATTGAAAAAAGTTTAAAGAAGCGGCGAGGACTGAGTCCCGAAGAGGAAGAGGAAAGAGTACTGGTAAAATTTGTGCGATGCCGGCGGAGACGATAAATCACTAGAACTGTAGGTTTTTTTAGTTTGTTTCCCAAAATTTGCGTCTCAAAATGATGCAAACGAAGAAACACCACAATACATACAAGCAAAATAACAATTCATACATGCAAAAATGAGTGGCCAAATATGCAGAATAACGATACTTGGCGAACTCAAATCTGTCGCATCCACACATCCATAAATTGTCATAACCATGAACCTGTTAGTTTGTATTGTGTAATGTAGCGCTACTTGTAAGATCGGAATTGTAAAACAAAAAGCACAATCTTTCGCTACTCTTCTTCTTTTCATCGCCCGAGTTTCATGCATACACGCATTATCCGTATTGACCGCTCTTGCTAGGAACAAAGATATGCAACATGTTGTTGAGGTCATAGCTGTGTAGAGGGCTTGACGGATCAGTACTTGAATATCGCAGACTACATGACCAGAGAATCGAGAGGCGAGGGAGTCGGTAGGCCAAATGAGAGCATTCATGGCGACAAAAATTAGAGAAATCATGTTTATTATGACGAGAGAGCAGGCGGCTATATTGCTGACGCGGTAGAGGAGTCGGAATGGAACGATGAGAAGTAGTATAAAGATTATCGAGAATATTGGGAGTGTAATGGCATTGGCAGAGATGGGGTAATTTACTCCTGGTGAGTCAGGTCCTGTACTTATGATCGCGGACATGATGTTGAAGTGCAATGTACCTCTGAGAGTGTAAGGTAAAGTTGAATGAATATCAAGGGATGAGAGGTAGATATTTGAATATCACCTCTCTTCGACATAGCAGTAATTGACTCTCAGTATAGAAAGGTGAGACGGGACACGAGTGTGCCGAAATAAATTGAGGTAGATTGAGATGACAGCAGGCAGCTTAAGCAAGTAGAAACAAGAGAAGTGGATGGAACAAAGAATGCTTCTATTTTGATGGTTGAAATATCAAGGGAGGTGGAGATTCCCGCGAGACGTCTTTGTGATAGACGGATCGAGGCTCAAGTATTATCAAGAGGTTATCTTAGGGGGGATCGACCATTCCTGCTTTGAGTACATTTTCAAAGCTTGTAGTCTTCATCTTCTCGATGGAATAGTTTTTCTATGGAGGAAACCTCTGTCTCAGCTGCCGGAAACTCAATAGAAGTAACTGTAAAATTATCAATCTACCGCAAGAGCTCGTAACAGGCTCCCAAAATTCCAGCATGAATGATTGCAATCCAATCGGTTTCAATCCTCACCTCAAAGTCTCAATAAGAAATTCAAAATCAGAACCCGAGACACGTCTCAGCAAATTATGTGAATTATCCATTCTCTCTATTGAGGAATTAAATATTGTGATGTGGTTGGCTAAAGAAAATCTTATTGAGCAACTCATTGGGTATAGCGAGAAAGGGGAACCGAGACGCTAAAATTCTGAATGAGTATTTGGCGAGGGGCGGAAAAACTACCTTACAGGAACAGGGAAATGTATCAAAAATGCATTGAAGACATAGAAAAATAAAATGGACCGTAATTCTGACGTACTCATAATATGTGACTTGCTCTCAGAAGATAAATTCCCAAGCAATGCAAAAATAAAAGAACCTCATGTCATTTCCGCATTCACCCTAAAATTATGCTGTACACAGGTGTTCCCATGCACACACGAATGGAAGTGAAATCCTAACGGATGTCACATCGACTCTCAAGCACATGCAATGAATGCGTCATTGAAGGTATATTCAGTAATCAAATACAAGAGCCCGTGCTTCTGAAGCTGTTGCACATCAAAAGTATGATGTTAAGTTTGTGTGTGTTCATTGTCGGGAATCTGAATTTGCGGCAGGTGTAGTCCATAATTGATGATATGAATACAATCGCGCAAGAGATTTCAAGGAAATTTTCACCTAGAAATCGAAAACTCGAGTAAATCCAGTCACCTTCCATTATTTCATAATCTAAACCGTTCTATGATCGAATTCCTTTGGTTGGGGAACACGAATTTTCGATTACAGGTTTTGACTTGGGTGGCTTACATACCGCCAAAAGCTACCATTAAATTTTGGCACCACAAGTTTTCAAGTCCACAGAATTTTGTATGATATTCAGTGACCAAACTGAGACTGGTATAAAGGGAAAGACAAGTCCGAAGAGGTAGAAATTCGCAACGTAATCTCTATATCGAAACAATGTTTCTACGCAAACACCTTTTCTCCAATATTCCAATTCATAACACTTTCATTTCTCTTCCCCGTTCAATTTCATATCAAAAAATCACCGAAATCCCATACCAAAACTCTCACTTGCCTATGTCGACGCTTTCACACCCCTAAACTCATCCTCCCACTTAGCCATGCAATCTTTTATCAAGGTCTTCATATCCTCTTATACATCCATTACCTCCTTCAACTCAACCTATCCTTCATATTTAAAAAACGCATGCAGCGCCCACGTATAAATTTCAATTATAGCCTCCCCATCCATCATCATCATCCAGTTTGTAACCATTGTTGCCAAATTATTTAGCAAGGAATCTTCTGTATTACATGTAAAAAGGGCACTTGGTAATCTTCCCCTAAATGTCTCGAAATTTCCATAGTATGGTGACATGAGAGGGTCTTTCTTTTGTTCGTCAGACATACCTGGAAGGGATGCGTCGACAAATCTGCGCATCAAATTGTGGTCGAGTGTTAAATTGGGACAAACGAAGTTTCAACATTGAGGGAGCATTGTAAGATCGTATATATCGCAATGGAGGATTAGCCCGGACAAATTAAAGTCTGGATTGTTTCTGAGGAGATGGAAAGCGACGAGTAAGGATAAATGAGCACCTGCACTCTATCGAGTAGTATTATTAGATGCATCATACGACTATGACAGACCCAACATACCTCTCCCCCAATAAATTTCAATGAGCTACCGAAAACTTCTCTCCCATTCTTGACCAAGTATCCTCCCACGTTAATACAATCATTTGGACTACACGGAAAAGGATATTCAGGATCAAGTCTACAACCAACTGACACAATCACAGAGTCTCCGGCATCAGCATAAAACTGGAAAATATTGGCAGAATGTTGTTCACCAAGAATTCATCCACCCCTATATATAAGGTACCCGCTTGCTTTTATCTTCTTTCGTTCCTCGCTACTTTTGCGCCAAGATGATATATCAAACGACAAGGGATTGTTCAATCACTATCACGAGAAGAAATTTGTATATCAAGACTATCTGATAAGAGTTTAGGTTTCGGGATGGTAGTCTCCCCTGCATCCCTCAACTCGCGATATTTTGAAGCACCCATCTTGAAAGTAGCAGTAAGTAGTAACAAATTGCAGATAGATTGACTACCAAAACTCAAACCATTGCGGACCATCACTTAGCAAGTTGATCAGACCCTCGTTAGCTTTAGCTGTACCTGCCGGTGTATTGCTTGGTTCAAACTTTGCGGCTTCGACGTGAATGTCCGACTGGAGGGGCATTGTCGTTGGACTATGACTGGAAGGTTTAGAGTGCGGGAGAATAAATATGACAGTTGTGAAGAGAAATTTTAACATGTTTGGGAATCACAAATGAAGGGCATTATCCATTCTTAAATCGCGAGATCCGAATTGATGGAAATCATATTGACTCAAGCTTTCCTACTCCTTTTCACAATTCCTCTTGGATAGATGAACGAACTTCAGATTCCATCAACTTCCCGCCATGTTCTCTCAAAAGTTGTTTGAATCGATAGCCGTCAACAATAGAGTCGGATGTGTACGAGTTACATCAGCATGACAACAGACTACTTGTGACGTCCTCAATTGATAGAACCCCTATGACGCGTATCTCACAGCCCGTGTAAATATGTGACTCTCGAAAACCAATCACAAAGTCGTTACGACGATGTGTGTTTCAAAAGCTTGTGAACAGACTCTTTTCATTTTGTCCGGGCAACAAGTCAAGAAAAGTAGCATAAAGAATTTCATTCGTTGGCCCCAACTTAATGGTTGTCATAACAAAATTCCAACTTTCTAACTATCAAATCCTCATCTCTTTGATTTATTTTGTACACGATCAATAGCTTTTGAATGAGGCGCATATCGACCATTCGAATTTCTCTTAGGTTTCTCCATTGGTCCTTGGCCGCCAAACAGAAATCGGGTATAATTGATCACCGAGAGAAGTGTTTTCAACGGAAGGCTCGCGATAGTACCGAAAGCTTGTAATGGGAGAATCATAGCTGAAGATATCCAATCGAACATTATTCCGAAAGTACCGCGTCGTTGTGAATTGTTAGCCGCCGCTGCTGCCAATGAGATAGCATCATTCAATCGTGCTTCCAAATCTAATAGACGGCTTTCCGTTTGGAATGATTGGAGTGTAGCACGTTTTTCATAACGACGTACAGCTCGGTTTAGAGCATCTAAATCCGGTTGCATTGTGCGACGAACTTCGGTAGTAAGAATTGCTGATTGTTTCCCATTCAAGACCAGCTCTGGCATGCTTCCGGTGGACGACTCTACATTTGAGGCTCGCGCCTCTAATTCCTCCAATCTTCGGACCAACGCTTCATTATCTTCTGCCTTTTTCTCACTGGAACCATCATACGAATGTGAATTCACAACTCTTTGTAAATGCAGTGTTCTTGCTCGTAATAACCTGACTAAATGTGCCATTGGTCTCAGTTCTGATGCTAGTAAGAAAATGGTCAAATTGTAATTCGAGACCAATCCTTCGGACGGGCGGCTCAATTGTGATCGGATTGAATGTAGTATATATGCCCCGACTATTGGAAATATGAAACATGATAACAAAGCCAATATCTCATGAACATAAAGTTCATTGGTAGCAGACTCGTGTACAGGCTGATGTCGCCCTGTCTTGGAATGCGAGTTCGATTTGTCGTCCGACGTGTCTTCGAGGTTCTCGGTCGTAGAGTCCATTGCGCATTCATCCCCGCTTCCTTCCTCCCGAGCCATTTCCTCATTATATACCTCTTTCTTTCGAATCGACTGTGCTGAATGATACCAATCCCCTGATTTATTAGCATGCATCAATTGATATGAACACTTCCCCAACGCCGATTTGCTGCCATTATTTTTGCATCGCGAATTCCAGATTTCTGGAAATAGATGACTTACACGGTACCCTTACAGACCAATTCAGTAGAATGGCCGCGAATCCAAGTAGCATAATATCGGTTATGACCGAATTTCCATTGGTGAAGAAGAGACCACCAATTGCTGGCAGAAGAGCAAAGGCTAGAGGGGCCGAATCCCAGTGTGAAGAATCATGACTATGTTCGTCCTTCATATCGCTAGGTCTAGGAAACAAAATATCGTCTGTTGAATCTCTTAAAGTCTTGTTAAATTCGTTCAGCGAATATTCCGAGAAATTCGAACTCCTGCGGCGACTTCCTCCTGAAGGTGTTCCATCTGTGGACCAACGATTGGTACGACGTCGATTTAATGTTGCTGTAGGCTCATCACCGGTAACATTTGAAGCTCTGCCAGTTGGTGATATACTCTGAGGTGGATTTGGTGATGAGGACCTATCGGTATTGATGATGTTGAGGTTGTGGTTGTGATTTCGGTTTCGGTTTCGAGTTTCTTCAACAACATTCATATTGCCAGGGATTAATTCGGGTGGGTGGATCGATCTGAGTGGTCCTGCAGTGTGTTGTGTGGGGAAATGATGAGGCGAAAAGTAAATCTGATGAAAATAATGGG